TCCCGAGCTACGGGCTGGCGGCCCCTAAATGCGAGGGAGTGTGGGAGAAAAAGCCGGGAGCAGTTGGGAAGTGAACCAGGTCTTGCAGTGAAATGCACTTTAGCGTCCACGTTTCAAGCAAATAAACGGAACTGCGCCTATTTTTGGAGAGAAATTTTTAATCTGTGACACGAATATTATTATCTGTCATAAAAAAACCCACAAACCAAAACCCACAAGAAAACAACTATTCTTAGGTTGATAATTGTGTAATTTTTTTAATAATTGAGTTTTTATTTTCTCTTCTTACAGCGGTGCTGTATTTTCTGCAGAGGCTATTAAACAGTAACCTACCCTGAGTATATTTCTTTTAAACCTTTTCTTCCTTTAATTAAATGAGCCTATTTTTGGGGGTTCCTTGGCAGTTTTGAAAACCTGTTTCATTTTTCAAGATTCATTCACTTATTCAGCCTTATTTTTTTATTGCTGCAACTAGGAGGCTTTTGCAACATGAGGGCCCATATAACCCTTCACTCAATTCAATTTTGATTTGACATACTCGCCTGAGAAGAGTAATTACAAATTGAATACACACTTACACTCTGTAGTACAACAACAGTCTAGAAATCAAGTAAATATAATTGGCATCAGAATTACTGGGACTGGAGGCACTGAATTAGAAATCTAATATTCTTTTGAATTTACCTGTGAAAGGTGACTTCTTAAAAACAAAAGCAACACAGCATTGAAATGAGACTGTGAACTGTGTTCTGGTCAAATTTTATTCTCAGTTCAGGAGAAACTAAAGTTCTTATTGAAATGACAGAAGTTCAGCAATTTAGGCTCACCTTACCAAGAAAGTACTATCAATAATTCTTTTAGTTCTTCACTGTTCTGTCAGGTAATCAGAATATTTTGTCTCTGCCTTGAAATTCCTGTGTTACTGTTCTCTGTGTGTTGTTTGGTTACCATCCTGCTTGCCATGTGTTTTAAGCAGGCTGAGAAAAATTACATTCCTTTCCATTTCACTTCTGGGTTGATGAAAGAATCAAAAGAAAAAGTAGAGAACATTAAATTCTTGAGTGAGTAGAATTGTGGGTGTTGTTAATGTATAAGACACATGGCAGACTGCAAATACTATAAAGAGTTTTAAAAAAAGACTTAATCCTGGTCAGTGCTTGTGCCACAGTCAGTGTTCCAAACAGGAATGTTAATAGTCCATTTCCTTTTCACTGATCACTTCCTAGCATGTTCGTTCAAGGTGCTTTCTGATAACATGAAGTAGTTAAGTCACCTGAGAATTGGAGCTTTTTCTTATTTATTATCTATTTGTTCCTGAGCAGCTTACATTGGTGCTGATTCTCAGCCCTTTCTTACATGTATAGGAAATTGCATGTATTAAATTCCCCTGTTTTCCATCAGTCAGGTTGATTTTTCTGAATAAACTTCATGTGTGAACTGTGAGTTTGAATCATTAACAAGTCATCAGTATTTGGGTGCAGTTCTGCACATATTTTTTTTTTCTGTGTGGTTCTGTTTACTCCTCCAAAAGTAAATTTTCCAGAACTCAACTTTTAAGTCTTTCAATTCCAAATGAATTAACCTATAGTTTCTGTTCATGAAAGTGGAACGAGTTGGTGAACTTTAACATGATCAATAAACCAGGAATTCTTTGTACTCCTGCTGGCTCCGTATTGGCTGATTTGCTGCTTAGAAGTTTACCCAAAGTTTCATAGATGTCACTGTAAACCAATCTGAGATCTTTGTTCTTGGAAAGAGGAAAAAAACAGCTTATTCTTTCTGAAGAGTTTGTGAATTCAGCATAAGTCTTTTTCATAGTGATTTGATCCTACTGTAGTTTTAAATTTTAAGTGGTGTGCCAGGAAGATTGTGTGATTAAGGTGTCTCAGGAGTTTCCTTACTCCAAGCCTTCAGCAGCAGGTGAAGGCTGGAGTGCTAAAAGGCACCTTAAAAGGTTAATTTGCTTGCAGAAGGGTTTGGCTGGTGTAGCCAGAGAAGATGTGGGAAATTAATCCTTGAAGATGGTTGGATGTCAGACTAAAAATTTCCTTTCCTGTGCTTTAGGGAACAAGTGCAGAGCAGGACAATCGCTTCAGCAACAAGCAGAAGAAGCTGTTGAAGCAGTTGAAATTTGCAGAATGCTTAGAAAAGAAGGTAAGTTGGTTGGGATGAAATAGGAGATAAGGAACATGAATTGGAGACACTTGTCAGTAGAGTAGTTGGGTGACAGCTGGTACCTCCAGGAATGTGAGGAATGTCTTTAAAATTACACTGGAGGATATTTGAAACGTTCATTTGAGTGTCACAGATACATGTGATCTAGTTTTAGTACTAAATATCACTAGGATTTTATGTAAAATACAACTTCAAAAGAATTTCAATTTTCCAGAAATTAGGAATTTAGAATTCTAGGCACCCTCAAATTAGAAGGCACCTTTTTTTGGGGTGAGTTTTTATTGTTGATGTTTTATGTTTCCTAGAATAGTGTGTTGGAAGTGCT